ACCATCCAGCCAGTTTTCTACCCAAGAGAAAGGTGGAATCAATACTTGTGTGTGTTCACACTAATGAGGATATGGTCCTGCTGTCTTCAACTGAGCATGCCATAGCTGTGGCACATGGATAATGCCCACAGGCTCCAAAAACATTGTGACTTTCATAGCTCTGTGTGTCACCTGTGCTTTGCAGAGCTGGAAGCTACAAGTTAATGTGTGTACCAGTCTGCAAGTGCAGGCACTTCTAAGGAGAGCTACACTTCTCAGCAAGTTAGCCCTAAATCCCTCCCTGAGTCCTAGAGCCAAGAAAAAGCTTTGAGCTCACGACCTGTAGCAGCAGCAAAGCTCTGATCACCCTGCGTTTAAGGAAGCATGACCTCCAGAACTGATCTGTCAGTTGCAAGCAAAGCACAACAAGAGATAACACGAAATAAGCACTTCCCTGGTTACTTGTTCATGTCCATCACCCACATTTGAAAAAGTTGGGTGGCAAATACAGCTAGAACTGAGGGCTCAGTGACCAGCCGTTCAAACTACTGACAGCCAGCCAAGCAGAAAGACCTGCCAAGAGAAATGCTCTTGGCAGGGCAACTTCTACTAATGATCTTAGCCTGTTGCAAATACAAAGTAACACAGCTGACAGCGGAAGGTGCTTAAATTAGGTCAGCCTTTTTTTGGCATTTACTCCGAGTGGAGAGCAGGTAGTGAAAGTCACTAAGGCTGACAGCAGCTTGTGAGGATGGGGTAATCTGTGCCATCCATTTGTGCCCTTAATCGCTGCAATTTCAAGATGAAAATGCAATACCTTTGAATTCAGGAGCTCCTAAAACCCAAACTCTTATTTTCTCTGGCATGGACACTCTTTTTCCCACAGGCTGAATCACAGAACCACAGAAGTGATTAGGAGTTGGAAGGGACCTCGAAAGATCATCCAGTCCAACCCCCCTGCCAGAGCAGGATCACCTAGAGGAGGTCACACAGGAAGGCGTCCAGGCGGGTTTTGAATGTCTCCAGAGAAGGAGACTCCACAACCTCTCTGGGCAGCCTGTGCCAGTGCTCTGTCAACCTTACAGCAAAAAAGTTTTTCCTCAACTTCACATAGAACCTCCTATGCTCCAGCTTGCTCCCATTGCCCCTTGTCCTATCATTTGACATCTCCTTACTAAGGAGACCAGTGCAGCTAACTATCCAGGCTTCAAGCCAAAATGATAAAAGGAAAACACCGACAAACCCACCAAAAGCATCATGGAGCCCCTTCACCACTGCCTAGTGCTTGTATATATAGGCTGGAAAACAGGCAATAAGCATGTATGAATGGAGTAGTTAGAAGAATCACAGAATCACAGAACGTTAGGAGTTGGAAGGGACCTCAACAAGTGAGGGCACCTGAAAGGCTTGACACTGGGATTTCCTCAGTCAGCAAGGTTACCGACCCAACGACATGGCAGATGGACACCAGCAGAACCATTAACCTGGCTGACAAGAGCAACAGGTCATATTTGTGTATGGCATTCAGCAGTAGTGGGGGCAGTGATGGTGGGGAAGGAGGTGGAACAACTTCTATCGAATCTGTGCATGCCCTGGATGGAGATCCTTAGTGTCAGAAAACCAGCTCACCCCCCGATGATATGACTCAAGATCTGGCCTCGTGCTCACCGCAAGCTCATCAAACTCCAGCAATGGCAGGAGGTGGCATTTGCCTTGGGAGAAAGAGCAGCCCACAGAAGCTGCACTCCTCAGAAGATGCATTTCCCACTAGAAGCTTGTTCTCCAACTATTCACTCTTGTTTTGCTCTCCCTCCTTAGATCTGAGCCCACCCATGCTCAAAGATGTGCTAATGTTAGCACTCGGCAAGATACTGTTTTTTAGGCAAAGAATAACAGCACCTATACATTTCTCACTTCAAGCTGCTTTCTCCAGCCATCAGATTACTTCTGCAGCTCTTCTGTGCACCCCTCCCACATTCAGGACAACATTACCAGACCTGGACACAGGAATCCTGGACTTGAGGATTAACAAAGGGCATGGCAGAACACTGGACTTCCTCTATCCCTGGGTGGGATTTACACCAAAATGCTCATTTACTTTGAAACACAGAGAAGCAAAAACATAAGGCAAAGTAAGAAGCGCACCGTTAGGACTAGGCTAAATAAGCATTCCTGTTGTCTGCCTCAGTGCTTCCACCCCCTCCCAAGACTCCTTCTCCTGACCTGGTCCCTTCCTCCATTACCTGAAGGTGAAATTTTTTCAAGGGGATCCTGCTCCTTCCTTCCAGTCCTCCCTCAGGAGTAAAAACCAAAAGATCCTTCATGTGCACCATCCCAAACTCTGGTCTCACTTTCTGCTCAAGGAATCTTCTTTTGCTTGGGTTCTGGGATATCACAAGACACTGAAAAGCTCCATTTTTCCCAGATCTGGAGCAATCTTTCCCTGTGATGTTCACACCAACCCCAAACATGGTGCCATACTTACTGAAACTAGCAGCATGTGCTTTGACCAAGCGAAAGACCACACCAGGCTTGCACATGCACTTGGATTTACAAGGCTGCTTCTGGAGAACATTCACACTCATGGAACAAAGTTGTTTTGGGGACAGTATCCATTTGCTATAAAGCTATACTGGCTGATAACATTTCTTTCTTATCAGTTATCCACTTAACACCAATTATTAACTTTCCTGTTGTTTTTGCACTAGCCTGCCCTCACGCTAAACAGGTTATGGGTGTCAGGGTCACCTGTCCTTTCCAATATAGGCACAGTACCCCCAGTTTCACTGCACTTCAAATTCATCAGTTTGATAGGAAACACCTCAGCCAATTCTCCTAAGAGCTCAAGTGTTGATCATCCCTGCCTGACAATTTAAAGCTATTTACCCAGATCAGGCACAATTCAAACTCCCCCCAGTTAATACACAGCCACAGTACAGTTCAGTGTGTCACACATCCATCCTGTCCCACCTTCTGTGTCCCCCACCCAAACAGGTACATCACTGATTCACTCCAGGCACTCCCACACCCATCTCTGCTTTTAAACGGAGGTTGCGATAGGTCAGCTGAAGCAGCATACTGCAGCTTTTTCAGAAGCTGTGTTTCTTCTGTGAGAAGAGCTAAGGACTCCCATCTCTTTCCCAGGAAGACAGGGAAGCATGGATTATCACCCCTGTGATCAGGGGTTCACATTCCTTTTGACCCCATTCTTTGGGTATGAAAGACAAAGTCACAATAATATAAAATATTATAAAATAAAAGCAAACCCTGCCTTCAGGACAGTAGCAGCTCAAAAAAAACCACACATCACAACAATTATTAATTAAGTTTTTATGTTTACAGTAGTCAGTTAACAGGAATACCAAGGGGGTTGGTTTGGTTTGTTTTCTTTAATCAGAATTCTGATGTTGGAGTTACTTTATTAGGAAAGCTGTAAGGAGGACCAAAACAGCTGATCTAAAATGTAATTACAAAGAAAAACACAGTTGAAGTCACACTGTGCTTTAAAGGAAAGTTATAGCTTAACTTGCATAGCACAAGCATACATAAGTAGTTAACAGGCATTGATAGAGCCCATCTCAATTTGTATTATTGCTTTTATTTTTCTCCTTTACATCTGAGCAACTGGTTGCTGGTCTCTGCTGGAACCAAGGTAGACTTACTGGCAGCTACTGCTCAGTAGTTGCATTTTGTTTAGCCAAGGAACAGAGTACACTACGAAGTTGCAAATGTTGTGCTAAGGAGAGAAAGAAAAAAAAAACAGTTATCAGATTAAGAGCATTAAACAGTTTCATTGTTCATTATTCTACAGTGATTTCCTACTCCATATGATCCAGAATTACGACACTTCCATGGCTCTCTAGATGTGTCCTTTCCTAACAAGCATTCTGGAATACCACTCATGTTAGTACTTGCTCAGGATCAATCACTTCTCTCAAAGAAACACTAACAGAGAAGCTGAGCAGTCAGCATTTCCGAAGATCAGGTTATCTCCTTTACCCATTCACACACAGGAAAGCTTTCAGCATGGCGATGCTCCAACAGAAGCTCTCAGGAACAGGTAAGCACACTTGCACAGCTGATGTGCAAGTGTCAAACCACTGCAGCTGTCCTAGTAGTACACACAAGCTTCTTGCTTAATGGATCACTCATGTGCAGTTACACTTCTCATACATGCAGGCATGAGGCCTGTGCACAGAGAAGCTAAACCTTGCACTGTGATTAATACAAATAATGAAGAACTACAGAAGAACTAGGCTCAGGCCAGATCAAAGCAGATGTATTTGGTGCTCTCATCTGATAAAATGAAGTACTCCTTAAAGAGCATTGCAGAACTCCTGCGTAACAGCTTGGAGGGCACAGAGAACAGTGGTAATCTGCCTCTTGTGATCAGTGCTTAGCCCAAAGCACTATTCATAGTAATATAAATCCTGCAGGAAAGTGCATCAAGTCAAGCATGTTTACATCACCACGGGACAAGAGGAGCAGAGAATGGTATGGTGACTGAGGACACTGGACTAAGAGTCAGGAAACCTGTAGGCTTGGCAGCGTTTCCTTCACATATCCCTGTGATCCAGACCATAAGCACTTTTTAAGAGGACTGAAGCACATACAGGCCCCCACGTATTACAGCCTCAGATCTCCACTTGCAAAACAGGCTAAAAGGCCCTGCCTCCACTGCCACATCTCGCAAGACAAGTTCTGCGAGGGCAGCACCTCGTTAAGCTTAAAGGCATAAGGTCTCTGACCTTGGTGGGGCAGACAAGGGGCACTGCCCACACCTCTCAGTACTAAGCCAGCCAGAGGACAGGGGTTGGAAACCCAAGGGGCAGTATGCTGTGTCCTAGAACCTACCTTAGCCATCTGCGGTGCATCATGGAAAGCACAGCTCTGGAGATCAGCTGCTGGCTTAGGGCAGGTCGTCCGGCCAATCTCAACTTTAATCATGTACTTGACTCCAGCCACAATCTGCAACAAGACAAGTGGGCAGCAACAGCTTTATTTGTAGCACATATAGAAGGGCTCTCTGACATGAGAGGCCCAGCCAAAAAGCAGACAGATTTCTGGTTACATGACGGAAACCAGACTCCAAAAGTACAGTGCATGTGGCAACCTCTGCAGAAGAGGAACTCTGCACCCTTTCAAAAACAGGAAACAAAATCCAAGTAAACAAGTCTCACAGTGCATCTTCCTTAGTCAGCAAATAGAGACATATTGACTCATCATAAGGACGTTGCTAGCTTCTTCAGTAACACACAGCACTCAGGGGCATTCAGACTGACATGACCCATGCTATAAAAAAGGATTCTATTCACTTTCTGTGGGAAAAAAACCTGAACAAACAAAACAACAGCAACCCAACAAACTTGAGGCCTGTTCTTTCTCCAAAAAAATTTCACAGGCCTCATCTTAAGCTGCTCTCCGGAGGGTGCCAGGGTCGATTCTACCACCACCAGACCCACCTACCCCCCCGCCCCGGTGCCCACCGACCGCCGTCGCCATTTACAGTCCTGTCCCGGCGAAGGGCCAGGCCGCCTCAGCACCCACCTGCCTTCTGGCCCTGATGATCCGCACCACCCGGCTGGAGTACATGTCGTTGCTGGCCTTGTTGTACTCCGCCATGGCGAAGCGCAGAGCCTGCTGCAGGCCCTCATCGTTGTCGGCGTTGTCGATG